TACTCTTGATCCATCTTGATAATATCCCTTTTCTAGGCTTTCTGTCCTATTAATAATCAAGAAAAGGTGGCCTGGGCATGTGGCTCAGTGGTAGAGTACTTGCTTAACATGCACACGGCCCTGATATCAATTCAGCACTGCAAAACATAAAATAAAATAAAATAAAAAGAATAAACTACAAATATATCTACTAACGTAGTATTAAACAATAGAAATTAATAGTCATATAATTTTTTTACCACAGTCAGCCTACGACACAGAAGGTACTCACTAAATGTTAAATTAATGAAAAATCCTCTGATTAAATATTTTGGCAGGGTACAGTGTTACACACCTGTAATTCCAGCATTCTGAGAGGCTAAGGCAGGAGGACTGCAACATAGAGCCCAGCCTGGGTAGCTTAGCAACTTAGCAAAACCCTGTCTCAAAATAAAAAAGAGCTGAGGATGTAGCTCAGTGCAAAGGTCCTGGGTTCAATCTCCAGTACCACAAGTATAGGAATAGACTTTATAATTTTTAACTTGAAAATGTGCCCAAACCTACAAGTAATTAAGTTTAACCTAGGTTTCCTTATGTGACTTCGTTTTTGTTATTAATAGACTTTATTTTCAGAGCAGTTTTAGGTTCATAGCAAAATTGAGGAGAAAGTAGAGAGTTCCTATATAATCCTTGTCCTTACCAAGGAAGTCTTCACTATTATCATTCTCTTGCCTTAGAATGGTAATATGTTTCAATAATTGACACATCATTATCACCCAAAGCCCATAGTTTATGTTAGGGTTCATTTTTGGTGTACATTCTGTGGGTTTTGACATGTAAAATGCCATCTGTCTTTCATGGTGCTATCATAAGAACAGTATCAGTACCCTAAAATTCCTCTGTGTTCTGCCTGCTCTTCCCTCCTTCCTCCCTGCTAACCATTGGAAACCACTGTCTCTTTACTGTTTCCACGGTGTTGGTATTGCCTTTTCCAGAATGTCACATAGTTGAAGTCATATAGTGTGTAACCTTTTCAGATTGGCTTCTTTTACTTAGTACAGTACTATGCATTTAAATTTCCTTCATGTCTTTCCATGGCTTGATGTCTCATTTCTTTCTAGCATTGAATAATATTCCATTGTCTGGATATACCGCAGCTTATCTCTTTGCCTACTGCAATACATCTATGTTGCTTCCAAGTTTATACAGTTATAAATAAATGTGCTGTTATTGTTCAGATCTGAAATGTCCCCCCAAAAGGTTCATGTGTTGAAGCCTTCATCCCCAGTGGAGCAATGTTCAGAGCCAGGGGCCTGAGAAGGATACTGGATCATGAATGCTTTAACTTCATCAGTGGATTACTGAATTCATAATTTGATTACATTATTGGGAGGTGATGAAAACTTATGAAATGGGGTTTAGTTGAAGGAAGGGGATCATAGGGGTGTGCCCTTGGGGTCAAGCCCTCAATCTTCCTCAGTCATATCCAGTCTACTAATGGTCCGTCAAAGGCACTTTCATTTCTGCTACAGTGCTTTTGATCTCTAGCATTTCTTTTTCTTTCCTTCTTAGAATTTCCATCTCTCTGCTTATATTATTCCTGTGTTTTTATATACTATTTTCATTAAAGCTCTTCAAATATTAATTATAGGGATTTTTTAAAATTTTATTTTATTGGTACATTTTAGGTATACAATATAATGACATTCATCATTGGAAATTCGCACCTTTACATAATACAACTTGGTCCTTATTTTCCCCCTTCCCCTGCCCTCCCTTCAACCCCTCCACCCCTGCCTATTTACAAAGACTTTGTTTCCATTTTTTAATTTTAGCATATTAATTCCATTCCCTTCTTTCCTTTCCCCTACTCCTCCACTTCCCCTTCCCCTTACTCCTCCACTTCCCCTTCCCCTTTGCCCCTTTTCTTCCTATTTCACATTATCTATTATACCTTTTAGTCCTTATTTGCACTTTGTTTCTTACACTAGAAAAACTATTTGGTATTTACATGTGTGTCCTATTTATTTCACTTAAGAGTATCGCCTCAATGTGCATCCATTTAGCTATAAATGTCTCTAATTTGTTGTTTTTTATGGCTGAGTAGTACCCCATTTTATATATTAAAAAAACACATTTTCTTTATCCAGTCTCCAGTTGATGGACATTTGGGCTGTTTCCAAGTTTTAGCTATCACGAATCGTGCTGCTATGAACATGGGTCCACATATATCACTGTGGTATGGTTCTTTTAATTCTTTGGGAAAGATACCCAGCAGGGGAATAGCTGGGTCAAATGAGACTTCCAGTCCTAGTTCTTTGAGGTATCTCCATACTGATTTCCACAGTGTTTGCACCAGTGTACAATCCCACCAGCAGTGGAGCAAGGTTCCTCTTTCCCTACAGCCCCGCCAACATTTATTATTGGTTGATTTCATGATAGCAGCCATTCTTTCTGGAGTGAAGTGGAATCTCCACGTTGTTTTCATTTGCATCTCTCCAATGACCAGTGAGGTTGAACATTTTTTCATATGTTTATTTGCTATTTCTACTTCTTTGTGTGAGAAATGTCTGTTCATTTCAGATGCCCATATTTGGATTGGGTCTTTAAATTAGGGAGGTCTGATTTTTTTAAGTTCTTTATAGATTCTAGATAGTAGACCTTTGTCTGAGGAACAGCAGGTGAAAATTTTTTCCCACATTGTGGGTTGTCTCTTCACACTGTCGGTGGTTTCTCTTGCTGTGCAGAAGCTTTTTAAAAGGAAGAGATCCCACTTGTTGATTGTGCTAGTTCACGGGCAACTGGGGTTTTGTTCATAAAATCTTTTTCTACACCAGTGTCTTCAAGAGTTCTACCCAACCTCTGTTCCAGCCAGTTCAGTGTTTCTTTTTTAATATTTAGACCTTTAATCCATTTCGATTTAAGTTCAGCACATGGTGAGAGACATAGGTCTGGTTTTAATCTTTGCCAAGTTGAAACCCAATTTTTCCAGCACCATTTATTAAGGAGGCTTTCTTTCCTCCAGTGAGGGTGTTTCACTCCTTTGTCAAAGATGAGGTGGCTGAGTGTGTCTGGAGTTGTTTCTGCATCTTCTAATCTGTTCCACTGGTCCTCAAGTCTGACTCTTTGCCAGTACCATGCTTTTTTGATCACAGTAGCTTTGTAGTAGAGTTTCAAGTTGGGGATTGTGATACCTCCTGCCATGTCTCTGTTACCCAGAATTGCTTTTGCTATTGTGGGTCTCTTCTTGTTCCAAATGAATTTTTCCATTGTTTTCTCAAGGTCCATGAAGTATGCTGCTGGGATTTCAATTGGGATTGCATTGAATCTATATAGCAGTTTTGGAAGTATGGCCATTTTCACTATATTAATCCTTCCTACCCAGGAGCAGGGGATGTCTATCCATTTTCTGATGTCATCTTCAATCTCTCTTTTCAGAGTGCTATAGATTTCAGAGAAGAGATCTTTGATTTCTTTTGTTAGGTTGCTTCCTAATTATAGGGTTTTTTAAAAAAAAAATTCCCAGTCTCATAAGTCCAACATACTTACTATATCTGTATCTGCTCTGATGTTTTTCTGTATCTTCAAAATGTGGATTTTGCCATCTAGTACACCTTGTAATTTTTTGTTGGTATCCATACATGAAATTCTTGGTGTAAAGAACTCCAGCAGATAGGCCTTCATTTGTGTGGAAGAAGGAGAAATGCTCTCTAGTTCTCTAGTCTGTAGTTCTCAGTCTTTGAGTGAGCCTATGTTCTAGACTGTGAACTTCACCAGTGCTTCTCACTTTTATTTCCCCCACCCTTAGAGGGAACTGGAGTTGAGAATATCCATTCCCCCAGGTCAGTTATGCTCTTTTAAAACCGCTAGCAAGTTAGGTTCTGATAAAATAATGTTCCCTGAAGGCAGACCTTGTTATGAAATACATAATGCTCTGAAATAAAAGATAGATAGTACAAAACAGGGAGATAGAACTTTTGCAGAAGGGAAGGGGACCAAGAGATGGACAAGAAGGAGATGAAAGAAGGGAGGGTTGGGGAATGGAAATAAAGAATTAAGATATGTTATGTGCAGGACCAACTCCCCACAATGAATATAATCATTATGTATTTAAAACATATGCTAAAATTTTTTAAAGCTAAAGCAATGCTCTGGCATTTCAAATTTCAAAATGGTTCTTTACCACTCTCCTACCAGATGCAGGAGATTCTTCTCTGATATTCACTGTGAAGACCTGGTAGAGCTCTTAGAAGCAAAACTCAAAAAAGTACCTACAGCCTCAAAGTTTTTAACTTATAGGCTTGTTCCTACAGTGCCTCCAAGAACTCCTCAATTGCAGGTTAAATTCTTCTACCCTGGGACAAGTTCCCATGGATGTTTCTGCTCATGGGTTCCTTGTGATTTGCTACTTTCACTTTCCTGTATCTCTGATTTGGTGGGCAGAGGTCTGATCCATGACCTCACTTATCTGATGGATATAAAAAGAGTTGTTGATTTTTCAGTTTGCTTAGCATTTTTACTTGCTGTTAAGACAAAGTGGAAACTTCCCTGATCTTCACATACTGGACTAGAAACTAGAAATCTTATGTCTTAATTTATACATTTAATTTTTTCTGCAAGACTAGTCAATACTACATTCTTTAAAAACACTTTTCAGTAAAATTATTGTGTAGGCAGTAGTCATTTCAAGGAAATTGGTCCTATGTTTTTTTATTACAGGGCTCTTATTTGCTGCATTTCAAATAAAACTAACTGATGTTCCTTGGAAATATCTTGGTTATATTTAGGATGGTGAATATGAACCATAATGACTTTTGTGTGTTAGAATCCTGATTCATTTGCAAAAATGTACCTTTGTGCTTTTGTGCCTATCTCTTGTTGCCATGGCCAACTCAGCCCTAAAGTTTCTCATCAAGAGGATTTTTATCCATATTAATTTGAAGTACCAAGTTTTCATAGTACTCAGGTGCACCACAAAGAAGTCCAGACATATGATTTAACATTTTCCATGGATTGTTTAGCCTTAGTATCACAGGCAGAGGCTCTAAAGGAAGAAAATGACAGCCTCCGTTGGCAGCTAGATGCCTATCGGAATGAGGTAGAACTACTCAAGCAAGAACAAGGCAAAGCCCACAGAGATGACGACCCAAACAAGGAACAGCAGCTGAAACTCCTGCAACAGGCCCTACAAGGAATGCAGCAGGTATAGCCATTTTTGTTTTCTGCACTTTTGTGAAAAATAGCATCAGTTCTTCACCCGTAAAAGGGTTCCCTGCAAGAAAATAAAATATCAAATCTGCTATTCTTCTTGATGTCATAGTTGCTGGCATGGTTAAGGAAGAGAGTATGTGGTGTGTGTAATGAAATATTCTGGTTAATACAGAAATAGCAGTGGATCACCAATATTCAAAGAATAAGCATTCAATGAGAAATGCTTGACATTAAAATTACATTGGACACAATCTTCTCTTTTCTTTGTGCTTCAGAAAGTCTGTGGGATCCAGTTAGGGTCTCAGTGTCTTTATGAAGAATATCAATTATTTAAATATGAAAAAGTTATAATGAGTGAGTATTTAGTTGATAGACAAGTAATACAGATTTTTAGAAGGAATGGAAAGAATACTATCCTTGATTTGGGTGGAAATGGGGACATTATGAGTCTGTAAGTATCAGTGCTTTGGGTGCATAATACCAACTTGTTTTTATTGTTTTCACAGTCATTTATATGAATAAAGTTGCCTGCATATAATTCCAAGTATGAAAAGTAAACTAATATAAGCGCATCCAACTTCAGTTGCATTCAGAGACAACATTTGGGGAATAGGTGCTTAATATCTAGAAGTTTGATGTAACTATCACCACAGTGAGCCCACAATTTAAAAGATGTCAACATCTGCTTTCATTATAGTAAAGGAGTAGTGCTTCGAAGTAAGGATACTATCTTCTGTCATGCCAGACTACCAGCCGTTTTCTGTACAATTTAAATTGTGCAATAATTTTTAACTTTATGGCCTGGAATTATCTAGGCAAAGATAATTGCTGGTTGGAAATTATAAATGATGAGCAGGGAATCTTCTCTGGCACTGGCCAGCCCCATGTTACTACTTTTGCTACCATTGTCTTTCTATGTGACAGGTAACATCACATTAATATTTCACCTTTCCTATTAGCAAAATGTGTGAAGTAATGCTTACCTTCCCTTTATTGTCATCATGGAGCTTAATTAGAACACATAAATTATATCAAAGAACTTTAACAATGCACAGTGTACTCTGTTTTTCAACCCTTCTAATAGTCTTTTGCAAGCCTTTGAAAAGTAAAACTTTGGAAACATTTTTGTTTTATTTTCTCCTCTCCAACACTGATTTTAAAATCATTTCATATAAGGACATTTCTGCCACTTAAATGCCATTTGAAAATAATGAACATTTTTCATTTCATCACTTCAAAGACCTCAGAGAATTAGGTTTCTACCTCCTAAAAATTAATTTCACTCATTGAAATTACCTTTTATGGGGAAATAGCCTTGTGATCAATGATAATATTTCTCCCACCTTATTTTTAAAGATGTATAGTACAATACGTGTTAAGAACATGAACTCTGGGGGTTGACCCAGACTAGTTTTAAATATAGCTCTGACACTTCCTATTTGAATGGCTTTAGGGAAGCCACTTCACCTGTCTAAGCCTCAAAGATAATAATATAAGGTTATTCTGAGGCTTAAATTATCCCATTCCCAATGCTTAGCATATATTAGGCCCTCAACAAATAATATTTGTTGTAATTATTAATAAAGACAAGTCCAACTCCTTGCCTATTGATATGGAAACTAACATAGGTGAGATGTGAATTCTTTACTACTTTCCTTATAAAAAGTGAGGTTGGCTTGGCAAATGGCTATTTGCAAGAATGCTTTACAACATTAAATTCACATCTATGCAGCAGTCAAAATATTGCCCACACAGCATTAATTGCACCTAATCCTTACCCCTGGCCACACTGGAGACCCAGTTAAGAGACTGGATAAATTAGTTTTCTCAGGCCCAAGTTCAAGAAAATTCTTTAAGAGCCAGATAAAGTGAAAAGTAATGATTTTTCCAAACTCTACATGGAAAAAGGATTCTGTGTGCTAGGGAAAGGTAAGGCAGGCCTGCCTGACATCTAACCTCAGCCAGGGATTTTAAGTGAAGTTTAGCTCTTAGTGACGTGATTATCTTTGGTTTTTCTTATAGCATCTCCTCAAAGTTCAAGAGGAATACAAAAAGAAAGAAGCTGAACTTGAAAAAATCAAAGATGACAAGTTACAGGTGGAAAAAATGTTGGAAAATCTTAAAGAACAGGTACAAGATCCTAAGTGAGCCTTTTCCCCTTTCCCCTTTCCTTTTTTCACTGACAGTGAAAATGCCCAGGAATTTCTGCAGTAGAAATCAATACTGAAATATTTAGATGGCTAGGGATTAAAAGCACAGTTCCAGGATAATTCTTATATTGAGGACACTGCTCTTAGATGTGAGTCTGTGGCATTTCTAAAGGTTCCAGAGAGTATTGTTTTCAATGAATAAAAAGTCTATCCCTAAAGTTCCTCAGTCTTCCCTCTTGGAGAAGACCAGCATGCACGCCTCTTCCTGCTTCATCTTGTCAAGCAAACAGCAGGGTAAAAACTTCATGTGACACAAAGTAATTTCAGTTGAGTATTTCATTAAAAGAAGAAACAGACTTAGTTTCTTTGTAGACAGTCCATCTTGTGTAATAATGAACAGCCACAAGTGAGAGTAATAACCAGAGCCAAAAGGAGGGAAAGCTTGGAAAGAAACAAGGAGACACATAATGCTAAAGCTAGATAATAGCAACAGGGAAAGCAAGATGGGTCTTTATCAAGTGAGAGCCTGCTCTAATAAGGACCATCAATGAGGACCTCTAAAAGAGTCTGCTTACATCTAGGTGGATTGGTGCATTACAACCATGAGTCAGGTGCCCAGTCTATTGAAAGCATACAGACCACCTCTTCTACCTCCTCTATGCCTGAATATTCAGCTGAAGTTATTCTCTTAAAAAGAAGGGTCTTTGGCCAGAACTGCCTCATTTTAATATCTTGTGAGCAAGAGAAAAAAATTAGGAGCTCGGACCAGGAGTCCGATATCAACAATTACACAGTTGTGTAAGAGCTACTGCTCTTTATCTTCTATGCTCAACTCAGGAAGATGCAGTGCACAAAGGCCCAGGGTATGTTTACCAGCACAGAGATGTCCCCCAGAGTGCCATTAAGAACTGGCAACCTTGGTGTAGTTGAAACAAATGATTGAAAGTGTTTTCTTCTGGAGGCCATTTGCAGTATGCTTTTAATTCTTCCACATCATAAAACCAACTCACTCTCCAGTTTTGTGGGTGCTATTAAAGAAACGAGCACAATCCCAGAGAAATTCATTTGTCAAGCTTTTAATTGAAAAGTGCCAAAGCTGTGCTACTTATCAGGACTTTCCTCATACTATCAAAGCTTCTAAATTGTCCCAGAGCTGCTACATAGCTCATTTTCACTTTACACATACAATGGAGTGTGTAGCCAGAAGACTGTAGATAGATGTGGTGTTACTCTAATGACACTATGCTCAGACTCACTCATTAGGATTGGCATCACAAATTGACTTAAGGACATTTTTATGTAAGCAGCTTTCTGCTTTGTAAAGAATTTCATTTAAAGAAATAAGAGGTCAAATGGCATAGAAGAAACTTGCCATGTTGTGCCTGAGGAAAATTGTTTCCCATTGTGAAACTGAATATATCAGGAAGTGGCAGCTTAACAGGACAAGGAGAGAGATCCAACTGATAATCAAAACACAGTGAGTCAGAATATGTTTTTTCTTGTTATTTTAAGCAAAGCTTCTTTTAGAAGAATTCATGACAGTTCATTATAAACTGATCTTCTCTGGGAAGCTGATTTGAGACCAAATATTTCAACCTGACACAATTAGGTTAGGAAGCAAAGTACCATTACATTAGACTGCAAAAAATAATTTCAGGATGAAAGGAAAGCAATAAGTTTAGGTAAAGAGGGATTCTTTTTGTTGGTTTTGTTTGGGTTTCGTGACAGTAAGCCATAGTGTGAGTTATTGTCAGTGTTTTGCAATATAACAATGGGACTTAAACGTGTGTCTTACTGCAGAAAAAACTATCTCTACTAGCAAAATTTGAAGAAATAAACATTCTTTTAATATACCTTGTAATTTTTTAAATACCAGCTATATTAAAATAAAAATCAAGTTTCAGTAAGACCACAGTTCCATTGAAAATGGCTAAAACTTCTTAGGAAATCTTAACATCTTAAATAAACCCCAATCTTTTAAACTCTCACACTTAAGAAATGGTTTACTGGATCGCTTAATATTTTAAGGGAGTTAGAAGCAGATGTGAAGCCTAAGGCTTAGAAGCAAGCTTGTAGTTTAAATCAAACTTGGCATAATTGTTACTGCCTGGGTTGGATTCTAAGGGCCAAAGATTGAGTAGGTCATCAAAGGGTCCTCCTCTGACTACAGCCAGAAAGCCTGTAAACCCACAAAACAACTGGCTTGTAGCATAGACCATTCATTTCATTCAGAGATGCCTCTGGGAAGCTTTGAAGACACCTTTAAAGAAAATAGAAGGAATCATGCCCCTGCTCAAGGCCTGTGGAAGGGAAGAAATGACAGAGCATCTGAGTCTGAGTCAGGCATGATCTGCCCCCAAAGGAGCAATTGCCCAGCATTTTCTTTTTCAAACGTAAATGACTGAAACAGAGAGACTGAAACAGTGATTTCTTTTATTTCTTCTTCTAAAGAAATATGTTCTCAACATCCAAGACAGAAAGAAAGATCCATGGCTGGTCTGGATGTGTTTTTTAGTGTCATTGCTGGGGATGGATTTCACCTGAGTATCTCAGTAAACCTACGAACTACACTAAGCAAGAAAAAAATTTCAATACCAAAAAAAGCCACTGACTAATAATATTTTGGTCATGGTCATTTCTTGCTGTAAAGTCAGGAATATTTTACCAGGGATTGAACTCAGGACTTTGCACTTGCGAGGCAGGCACGGTGCCACTGAGCTAAATCCCCAGCCCACGTCAAGAATATTCCAACAGATGATGTGCTTATCAGAGAGAAGAATGGAAAACAGTCACTCATCAATAGATAGAGGCTCTGATTTTTAGTTCAAAAGGCAGTAGTTGAGGACCTGTGAGAGGATTGGCTATATTACAGATTCTTCATTTAGAGTTGAGACTCATCATTAGCTGAAAGTGAACCTAAAATTTGAAGAAGGAAAAAAAAAGAGTGATCCTCTTAACAGTGAATGGCCTGGGGTGAAATGTAATCTTAGTCCATTTACCTAATTTACATGATAGCTTTATTTCCCTCATCTGTAGAATGGAGGTAATACATATCTATTAATACCTGGTGTCTAGTTAGTACACAATAAGTGTTGAGTCTGGTTCCCTAGACTCCTTGTATAGAGTTAAGAATGATGAAAGCTGGGAAAAAAAAAAGGTGAAGACAAATGTTTAAATTTTTCTGTTTTGAAGCCATCTAAAGACTCTTTGGAGTATCTGTGGTGCTTTTGTAATTCATACTATTTTTCCCTTATTCAGTTATCCGAACTGGACAGTACTGTTTTTATGGTCCTGTGTTTAAAAGGTCCTTGTTGTGTAATTAATGGAAACCAGCTCTATTGCCAAATACAGCGAACTGACCCAGGAGGTGTGTTATTCCCACAGGAAAACTGTGCTTCTAGACTGTGTGCATCAAGCCAGGAAAGCGACTGCCCTCTTGAGAAGACCATGAACAGCAGTCCTATCAAATCTGAACGGGAAGCACTGCTAGTGGGTAAGGAAGCTAACACACACACACACACACACACACACACACACACATTCATAAGATATAGTAGAGGAGGGAAAGGGTTTACCTATGATTAATAAACACATACCGAGCATTTATGAAGCAGGACAGTATAGGAATCCTGAAGATGATGGGGTAAGAGCAAGTACAGATTTTCATAAAAATTGTAAGAGCAGTTCCCAGTCCTCTGGGGGCTCCTCAAAACCCCTGCCACATCAAGTGTGTCCATACAAGCATTCTGTTAAGAGGGGGTCAGCTATAAAAAGCACACTGTCATTTTGTTTTATATCTCCATGCAAAGATGGCCGAGCCTTCTCACATCCACTCAGAGGGCTAGTGTGGACATTGTTGTGCAAAGAGCTTTTTTTCCAGATGAGACTCTGGAGCAAGTATCTGCCTCTCAAGTTTTTCTGGGCTACTAGCTGAGCCATTTTTACTCATGACACTTCTGACACCAAATAAGAGGGTAATTTTTTTATCTCTTGACACCAAATTCCTAGTATCTTTTCTAACTACAGTATTTCTCCAACTTCAACTAGGCATCCTACCATTCAACTCAATTAAATTCTGACTCCCACTAGCCGGAGTTACCTTCATATTCCACAAGTGTAGGGGCTAAGTCTCACAAATCTGTTCTTATTTTAGATATCAGTCTCAAATATCAGCTCCTCAGATGTGTTAGTCAGCTTTTCTTTACTGTCACAAATACCTGAGATAATCAGAATATAAAAAGTTAATTTTGGTTCACAGTTTTGTAGGTTTCAGTCCATGGTCAGTTGGCCTTGTTACTTTTGGATCTGTGATGAGGCAGCATATCATGGCAGCAGTGTGTGGCAAAACCCTTCATGGCCAGGATGCAAAAGGGGTGGGGCAGGGCTGGGGTCTCAATAACCTCTTCATAGCTGTGCCCCCAGTGGCCGGGGGACCTCCTGGTAGGCCCCACCTCTTAAAGGTTTTACCATCTCTCAACAATGCTGTGAGATAGGGACCAAGTCTTTAAACATAGGCCTATGGAGGACACTCCAGATGCAAACTAAAGCTCCAAACTGACCCCCATTACTGTTGGATTCAGCTAGAGTCAGCAGTTCTCACAATCTCCACCCCACAGGTTCAATAATTTGCTAGAACAACTCACAGAGCTCAGGAAAGTACTTTACTTCTATTACCAGTTTATCTTAAAGGACGCAACTCAGAACAACCAAATGGAAGATATGCACAGGGCTTGGTACTAGGAAGGGTTATACAGTGGTACATCGGTTCACGAACTTAATTCTTTCCATGATTCTGGTCACAAACTAAACTGGATGTGAACTAAATCAGATTTCCCCATAAGGTCAACATTGAACCTAACCATTGAATTTGATTTGGTTTTTGTCCAAATCAGTTTGCGACCAGAATCATGGAAAGAATTAAGTTCGTGTACCGACATACCACTATGTACCCTTTCTGGGCATGCCACCCTCCCTGCATCTCGATGTGCTCACCAACTGGAAAACTCTGAACTCCATCGAATTAGAGATGTTTAGTGAGGCTTCATTTTATAGGTGTACTTGGAGGAGAGTACTGAAAATTCCAACCCTGTAATCATTCCTTGCTCTTGCTGGCAGCCAGACACCAACCTGAAGCTATTGAGGGTTCCCCAAGCCATTCATAAGCATACAGAAGATACTCTATCACTCCAGAAATTCTAGAGTTTGGGGAACTTGTGCCAGGCTCCGGGACAACTACCAAATATTTATTTCTTTACTATTTCACATTGGCACATGACTCAGGAGGCTGGATATGGTGTGTTGGACAATGGTGGGCTTTGATGAAACAAATATTAAGTATGATGTATTGCTCTCACTGTATGAAAATTCATTCAGAAAGTCAAGATAACGCAAATTGTTCAAAAATCAGGCAGACCTGTCTTTCCATGTGGACCACACCATTCCTTTCCTAAGCTTCAGTTCCTCCCTCTGTGTAATAATGTCACCAACCTCAAAGAGCAGTTGCAAGTATTGCAGGTGATAATTAGCCTAAATCACTCAGCACAGGACAGGGCCCATTTTACACTTACAGTGCTATTCCCAAATGCTTGTTGGCTTTATATACCATTTGGAGAAGTGTGGCAGATTGAGGTTGTAAAATATTTAGGCATTTAGAGGCGGCTAGTTAATCCCAGCTGCCTTGTAGGAAGTTGAGTCTTACAGTGGCCAGGCCCCAATCTCCAGAATCCTCCAAACTGACTCCCTTCTACATACTTTCAGGATATACCTGTCTCTTCTGGTAATGGGTATCATATTCAGATTTAATACTCTGATATGTTAATAAGGATGTGCAGGGAGATCTGCCATTGAGGCCTCAGGAAAAGTGACAACTTTCAAAGTTTTCCAACTCAGTTTTTAACAAATCGGCACAGCAACAGAGATGTGTCAGAGAAGAGCTGGGTGTAGAAAGCCTCTGTAATGGATAGCCTGAGGGGGAAAAAACGGTTCTTCAAAATAATGTTTCTTGTTCTGTGTTTTAAAGAATGCAGCCTTGAGCTGACAGAGAGAAAGAGAAATCTATTTTTTTTAAAGTCTATTCTTTGTGAACTCACAAAAACTGCTTAGTGTTTTTAAACTATGGAGTTATTTCTTGGCACTTGACAGTCTTTCTTGGCCATGACATCTAGAATTTCTTTGAATGTATACTGTCTTCTTCAAAATTTAAATTTCTCAACTAGAATCAGTGTTGAGAAATTCAATTTACCTAGTCATTTAAGAATAATGTCATGTTAGAAGCAGCAGCATCCATTTTGAGCAGATTTTGAGCTCCTCCATCAGTTCCTCCTAAAATACCCCAACCAATCTCTTGGCCATCTGATACTTGAAAGTTTTTTTTTCCTCAAACAACTGACTGCACTTCAAGCTACAATTTAAACTTGTGCTATTCTTTGTCAGTCTTAAAGGGACAGAAAAGTTGTAGTTTATAAACCAAATCAGATTTCACTTTTTTTCTTGGCAGTTTTCAGTAAGCACAATTCTGGGTCTGTTCAATGTCCAAAGATCTTATAAAAGGAGAGCAATTTAAAATAACATAAATAGTATAATTTTTAGCAATTTTTTCAACTTGTTGCCAGAGAAAGATTAGAACATTAAGCTAATGGCCAGAATAATCAAGGTCATTAGAGCAGCTCACTCAGGGTTAGGGTGAGTAGAAGTCAGGTGCATTCCTGGAGGCTGTAAACTGCCTAAAGAATTCTGTTATGTGAAGAGATTTGGGACTCTTAAGCACAACATGCTAGTGACCACTTGAGTCAGCCATGAATGAAAAGTTTAGCTTTTCTTTACAGAACTACTCCCCCCAAAAATGCCAAACATAATCAGCAGATTGTGTTATGAGAGGCACTAGGTTAATTAGGCAAAGTACCTGATGTGTATGTTTGCCCCAACAACAAGACATTATTTACACCTAAGAGACTGAAGTCTAAGTTAAGGACTTAGCCTCTCAGGTGTAGAAAGAACTGCAAAAGCGTAGCATAGAGTCATTGTAAAATTCTAGAATTCAAATGGTCCTTAACCATCACAAGTTATGGAAATGACTGCTTAAATGCCAGCTTTTCTGCCTGTGATGCTATATAGTAAGAGGCAGCATGTGTAGTGATTAAGAGCAAAGGTCTGTGTTCAAATACCAGCTCTTACACTTAGCAGGTGTGTGATCTTGAGCTGGTTGCTTCAACTTTCTTTGTCTCAGTATCCTCATCTGTGAAATGAGGAATACCTACCTCACAAGGTTATTGTGAAGGTTAAATGAATATATGTAAATTTAGAGTAGCACCTAGTACATTTATGTTGTACATGTGTCGGTGTTATGCATATGAGTTAGTTCTCTGTCACTTGAAACATCTCAAGGAATGCCATGCTCAAGTGTAACCTCTGGGATTATCTCTATAGGCATTATCTCCACGTTCCTTCATGTTCACCCATTTGGAGCAAGCATTGAATACATCTGTTCCTACTTGCACCGTCTTGATAATAAGGTATGTGGGGCCTGAATGAGGGAATCCAGGGGATGTAGGTCTCTTTGTGAACAGATGACCTTACTTTCTTTATGCATAAATAAGCTATTACTTATTGATCTAAGGAAGTTTCCCTCACATGCTGTTTCACTGTGATTCATCGAGCTTCTCTTCCAGGCTGGTGGGGGACTGAGGAGTTTTCTTGCACTTGAGACTTTCAGTGCTAAAACCATGAAAGTCTAGAGCAAGATTGAATGAGTTGGCCACCATACTTCCAAGATACATCTGAGAAGAATTTTCCTCCTTTCTCTTGATTTACGTAGCAACTGCAAATTAACCAGCTTTCCTGCCCATCCAACTTTTGTCCTGGGCCTTTATCCATAAGCAAATGTTGATTTTCAAAATTGGAAGGCTTATTGCAAATAGCCCTCCCACAATCACCAATGCATTACCTACTATGAAACAATTGAGGCAAGGACAAAAAGTGTTGAAACAAGAAACTGAGGGTTTCAACCAAGCCCTGGTGGCCAGGCTCACAGTTAGGAAGGTTGCTACTAATGCAAAGATGACTACCTAAAACAAGGTCTAAAGGAGTCCACACATTTGTTTTTGTGTTAAGATGGGGGGTGGATATGTGTCTGTCTGTCTGTCTGTCTCTCTGTCTGAATATGAAGTGAGGAAAGAGAATGCATAGAAGTAGGAACACAGAGCACTGCACATTCCTGTTGCTTTTCCTTTGAAAGTGAATGCGTGTGTGAGGAATTCTGCCTCCCTCCCCTCCCAAAAGACTTGGCAGCTTCAGTGGGCCTCACATAGCATCTCCTGCACTGAACAGCCGTCATTAAGCTGACTATACGCCCACACTTCTCCACACAACTGATATCAGCTCTTTCCAATAGCAAGCTCAGTGAACAGTGTCTGTTGGTCACAGCAGAGGAACACCACTGTCTGAAAGCCACTCTACCAACACTTTACCAACTCCCATGCAAGAAGGGGAGCAGGTTAAGCCATACACACACCCCTAACACACACACTCATCACCATCATCATCATCATCATCATCATCATCATCATCATCATCATCCTAAAGTAGGCAGCACTGAGAAAGAAGACAATTGAGAGCATGAAACTTGTTTAGAATGGAGGGTATGCTCTCTGCCCTGCAGATCTGCACCAGTGACGTGGAATGCCTCATGGGTAAACTCCAGCATACCTTCAAGCAGGAATTGACCGGAGTTGGAGCCAGCCTGGAGAAGAGATGGAAATTCTGTGGCTTTGAGGGCTTGAAACTGACCTGAATCTCTTTGCCTACCATGGGATCCTGAAAATAAATATGTGTTGGACAAGCTTAGAAAGTGATTTGTGTTTTCAATGATTTTCAAGTGGAAGTTGCTTTAAATTTGTCAATTCATTCCTGGAGTATCTTTTGAGTTGAGATAAGGATCCTAGAACAGCACCTCGAACTGCAGGTCCTAAGAAGAAAATGCCTCAAATCTCAAGTGCTGTAACTCCCTCCCCTTTCTGGTAATTGGTTTTCTTTTCTTAGTAGTAGTATTGAAAAAGTCCTCCAACTAAAGAATATTTGGAGTGTTTTCGGTGTCTGTACTACTGTTGTAGACCTTGGTATTTTTTTAAAAAACTGTTAACTGAAATGTTTTAATGATTCGTATGTGATTTGTGTTTCCAAACTTTTCACGTTAATGTTGTTGCTGCTGGTGATAGGAATAAGAGGAGCACTAGGTACTCTGTGTAACTGCCATTGTCTTTCTAATCCCTAGTAGACCAGTAAATGAATAACACATCAGTGTCTTCTAGATGGTGCTTACCAGGTTGACCTTTGAAACAACAAAGCATGATTTGTGGCTTTTTGCAAAATTGCTTTGAACCAAAAGTTGACAAATGTTCCAAAGTTATTTTTTCCAACAGATAAAAAGGTCTATTTCAGAATTTCAAAAAATAAATCTAGATGTCTTCACAGAAACCAAGTATTCAGTATGACTAGCATGTGTTTGTACTATTCAAAAATCTTTTGTAAATAGTCTGCTTTTAAAGGAGAGCGTGATTAGTTTTCTATGAATTGAAATGCATTCACATGTGGGCACATGCATACACACACATTAGCAGAAGGAATTTATTTTAATACTCTCTCCTCTGGCCTTCTGAAGTCTGTTGGTCCCTTTTTTCTGCTGTCAGTGTGTCGAACTGCAAACCGTGTACTGCTGTAAATACCATGTTTACTTCATGCTGAATGTAAAGAGTTGATATGAGTATTCATAGTAATGAACTAATGAGTAAATAATGGGCCAGAGTGTATGAGGCATCCTACAAATCAGTCTGGTCCCCCTGGAGTGCTGATTGCTGGGGACACCTCCAGTTCTACTATGCCCAAACAGCAGGTTGCAAAGGTGGCATGGAAGTTGGAAGTGGACCATTTAGGAAGTTCTACTTGGTAGAAAATGAAAGGAAAGGAGAGGGCTTTGGGGCTAATGCCTGAGGCAGAGATCGTGTTTTATTTATTTATTTTTGTGGTAGTAGCTGTGGGGCTTAGAACACAAGCATGCCCTCCCTTGAACTGCCTGGAAGATAAGAGGATGCACTGAATAAGCAAAGACAATGGAGAGTGTTCCATGAAAATCCTTTGTAAATGAGATGCCAGTAGTGTTCAAAGTTGTATTTTTAAAAGATAAATATTCCTTTTTTATACCTCAGTTTGTGTTTTGATTTGAATAACTTGCTAAGTGACCCTCTGGTAGATCACCTCAGTTTCTCCCTTTGTATTACTAGGATGTTGGAAGAAGATGCTAACCCTAACTGACAACTAGAAGCAGCTTTCCTTAGCAGCCCATTCCTGCCAAAGTTGGCTTCCCCTCAAACACCCCGCTGTGGCCCCAGAGGATACTGGGGTTATTTCTACACTAGCTTCCTCTCTGAAGCACCTCTGTCATCAACACAGCAGAAGGGTTTGATTCACCAGTCTCAGAGCTCCTGGAATGCCTTGTTTTAATAATATGTAGGAAATCAAGGCACATTTTCCACTTAGCAGTTAAATAAAATTAAATTTTAACATAGCAACTGCCCCACCTAAATACCTCACTCTCCTTTACTTAATTTATTTATATTGCAAACTGTTTCTATTACACCTACCACTTTGGTCCAAGGATGCCTCCCCAGTGTATTTGAATATACTAGCTGTGATGGTTAATATTCCCACGCCAGTGTAGATGTTGGTGTGAAGGTATTTTTCAGATGTGATTAACATTTAAACTGGTTGACTTTGACTAAAGCAGATTACCTACCAGAATGTGAGTGGGCCTCATCTAATCAGTTAAAGGCCTTAAGAGGAGAGACTGAGGTCCCCTGAGAAATGAAATTGGCCTCCAGGCTACTTCAGACTCAAAACTGCAAGATCAACTCCTGCCCTCCTGCTAGAAATTTCCAGCCTGCTGGCCAGCCCTCAAACTTGGCAGCTTCTCTGGAGAACCCTGACTGATACGCTCATCCAGAGTTGTTACAATGTGTAAGAACAGAGTATGTTTGCATTATACTACATAATCACATTACAGCACATGCCATTTCTCACAATTCTTTACATTCACCATAGAGATTTATTAATGAAGCTATTGTTCCTTCAAAATTCTCAGTGCTATTTATGACTGGTGTTCCTCCATAATTTTGAAATATTGCTGTTTTGTTATTTTTATGAGATACAGCTGTTAAGATATTTGGCAGAAAATAATGAATACAAGTTTCCTCTTACTTTACAAATGGTTGTTTCATCTCCCTCCACCCAGTCCTGTGGTATCTCTACACCTGATTTTGTAATATTGCCAAGTTGCTTGTTAAGCATCTTCAGTACAAATGAATGTTATTTTTTAAAGAAAATTAGATGCATATCTGTGTTCCAAGTTATTCAGAAATTTTTTTTTCAATTTGGACCCCAAAATGTATGGTTTCCTTATAGTACAGAATAAACTATTATTTGAAAGGGCAGTGTAAATGTGCAAGAACTGTCAACTCACCCAGTAAAACTATGTAAGCCCTTGGGATTCTCAGTTGCCTAGTATAATGCATCACATAGACCTGGCTCCATTTTTCTCCACAATTGCTACCATCTGCTGAGCACCTATTTTGTAGTCATGTTGCCCAAATTACCTCTGGCCCATGAGTCTGTAGGGAAGTTACATGGTCACAATGAAAGATTCAATTTCCTTATAGACAAAATTAAGGAGAATTTATATCTACCTCAAAGAGCAGTAGGAAAGATTCAACAAGATAGCATCTGCAAACAGCCTGGCCAGCGCCTGGCCCATGGTGAGTTCTCAGCAGAGTTATAATAATGATTATATTCAGCCAAAGTTCCTGATCTTACCCACATTTTAAAGACATGTTTTTATGTTCACACCCAGAATTGTGGGGTATATCATGTCAGTGGGCCTCAACAAAGGAAAGTCAGCTGTTCAAACCTTTTCCAAACATTTACTCTATCCCACACACTGACCCAGGCACTGTAGGATACAAAAGGAGTAGAGCCAGCCCTTGTCTTCCAAAAGATAGAAGGAGAGCTTTTAACACATCGAGTTTAAGTCCTTCCCACTTTAGCCAAAGCTGTAAAAATATTCAGTGATTCCAACCATGAACAGTGCTGATGAGGTGGGAATGATGTCTGACTCTTCAGACCTGAACTATATTACTCTCAGTGCCCTCACCCTGCCTGCTCACCAGAGTGTAAGTTCTCTGACAGCATGGTCCTCATTTCTCCTGCTCACTGTTACATCCCCAGAGCCTGGAACATTGTAGGTGCACAGTAAATGTTTTATAAATGAGTACTTGCATAGCATGCTTAGCTCCATGCAAATAATATTATGTAATAATTGTCTTAGTTACTTTTCTCACTGCTGAGGCAAAATACCCAACACCACAAGTTAAAGAAGGAAAGATTTATTTCAGCTCATAGTTTGTAGAGGTTTCAGTGCACAGTCGGCTCACTCCAAGACAAGGTGGCAGGACAGATCGACCTCACAGAGGAGAAATAGTCCATGGCATGGCAGGGCTGGGAGAAGGCAGCAAGCAGCAATAAATGGCAGCAGCAGAAGCACCCTGCTTTTTTTTGTCCCTTTATTTTCCACCCGGGCTACCCACCCCTTTGGGCAGCACCGCCCATACCCAGAGTGGGGCAACCTTTATCCCAGCATCACATCCTATAGCCCACATCACACCCTCTTTGAAAAGCCCCACCTATGAGTGCATGAGGCTTTGGGGGGACATCTAGGTACAAGCCATAACAATAGTAAAAGCTAACATTGATCTATGAGTCCCATGAACCAGGATATAGATATATGATAAGATTAATGATAAATAAGGGTGGTTTGTTTTTTTTTTTGGTACCAGGGATCAAACTTGGGACCTTGCACTTTCGAGGCAGGCTGCGGAACCACTGAACTAAACCCCCATAAATAAAGATATTTTTTCATTTCATTTTTACTACCATGTGAAAAGTAGATGATATTCACCTCGGCTTCATCTGAGACTTGGAGATGTAAAGTAACTTTTTTAAGTTTTGAAGAGGCAGAGATGAGACTTAAACCCTTGTCTTTCCAATTGCAAGCCCAAAATTTTCTACTGCTCTAATATTTTATTTAACATAATTGGTAAATATTATAAACCCTACATTGTTCATTTATGTGCCACTATAAAATACCTGATATGTGCAAGTCTTGGCCCTAGAAATTAAGGAGTGAACACAACACGACTCCTTCCCTCGTGTTTCTGTGGAAGACCCTGCTAAACAATTATCATGTACCAGGTACTGTAGGAGGGACAAAAATGTTAGGGAGCTTGAAGATGGGTAAGAGGAGAAAATAGGCTTGGAAAAGTTTGATTACTTCACCTAGGTGCACAGAAATACGTGACGAAGCCCAGAAGTTGGATGCAAGTTAGCCTGGCTTCAGTTTGTGTTCTTGCTATTATACCATGGTTTGCCACATCACTTTCTAACAGTGTCACTTAACTTCCCTGAGACTTCTTATATTCATCTATAAAGGAGAAAACCAGCTAGGTGTGGTGGCACATGCCTGTAATGCCTGTAATTCCTCTAATGCACTCGAGAAGCTGGGGTAGGAGGAATGCTGCAAGTTTGAGGCCAGCCTGGACTACAATCCAAGACCTTGACTTTAAGAAATAGTGGAAATCTAAGTATATTTCCTTCAAAGAATGGTCTTTGGTCAGCATAAAGTGCCTGACAAGGTGCTCAATAAATAGTTATCATTATAATAATCATATTAACAATGTGTGAATGACTCCAGAGTTACCTTTACAGTACTGGAAATCCCCCAGGGTCACACAGTAACTTAAAAGAAGAATGACACCTGCTAGCTCAGAAGAATTCAGGTGACTTTTCTGACCAGTGCTCCATGAAAGTAGGTGAAACTTCTGCTGTTTTCAAAGATAGTCTCAGGATCCTTCCAATTCTGGCCCTCCTTCATAGCACAGGCTGCATCCCATTAACAAGAGGCCAAAAGGGGCTTCCAGCTCCCACATCCCAAGAGCCATAAAATCATCCCAGTTATTTGGTTTGATGGTAAGCTTTGAAGATCATGGCTTGCCTAAATTTTCTATCTGGGAGGAAGATCTCAAAGGCATAGTAATTATTAGGGCAAGAGAAGAAAAGAAATTGATTACACACAGGTATGAGCCCTTCAGGCTTTCGAGCCTTATGGACAATGTTAGATCTTAGGTAGAAAATGCTATGCAGGACATATTAAAGTGTTCTGCCCAACTGAATTCACTTCAAGTATGTTTAAATATTAGAGTACCCTAAAATTAACAGTCACCGGTAGCACCAGACCTCCGAAACCTTAACTCATTAATGTTCCTCAATAAATACCTTATTGGTACTTTAAACGATTTTCAAAGCAACTCAATGACGCACAGACATGATGTCATTTGACCTTCACAGTGACCTGTGAGCTCTCAAGGGAAAAATGGTTCACTCGCCACTATTGCAGCTAAGGAAAACAAGTCTCCAAAGAACAAAGACTTGGTCTTCAAAGGATGAAGACGTAGGTTGCACCACTAAGTGCATGATTGAGCTGGGATGAAAAAGCAGGATTCCTGAGTCCTCCCAATCTCCAGTCCACTTCATCTCCAGCCTCTGCCTAGTATGGCCCAGAGAATACAAAGTAAGGGTTCTTGACATTTTTTGGTCTCATGGACCCCTTACCAGCATGATCTTAAAACCATGAGATAAAATACAAATGAAACCAATTATATTAAAATAATACACTTATCAAAAAATTTTAGCCATGGGATTAATTTTATTAAATATGTTTATGCCTACAAATTGCTTTAAAAAGTGTCCATCACACGGTAAGGTCTACATAAACATTTACTGAAGACAATATTTTAAAATTTATAAACAATCAAAATACTAATTCTGTGCACATTCTAAGTCAATGTTTAAGTGACAGGAGGCTCCCTCAAGCTTGTATTTCTGTGTGAAAAAGTGACAGATGAGCTTCAATGTAAGCAAGTATAAAGGACTGTATTTAAGAGAAAATGAACCAAATGCTATTCACAAGATGTTAGCCTCAAAACCATCAGTTCTGGCACACATAAGGGATCTGGGAGTTGCTGGAAAGAAGTCCCTGAAGACATCTGCCCAATATGTGGTTGGAATCATAAAAAGGCAACAAGTTCTAAATACAGTACAAAGCAAAATAGGGGAAAAAACATAAGGCGTTATCTGATCCCCTCTTAAATAAGTTTTGTGCCCACAGCAGTAAAACAGTGTGTTTCATGTGTCTGGGCCTCAAGACATGAAATTTAACATTGCAATTCACATGTTGTTCAAGTGCTTACTCTGCCCAAGATATTCTGGCAGCCAATGAAGGATGCAAAGATGAGTGTAATATGCTCAAAGAATCAAGGGTGTAGGTGAGTTTTAATACATTAATAAAACATGTTCTACTCCTCTGAACCAGAACCAAATAATCTGGGAGAGAAAAAGCTGGAATGCTAAATTCAATGTGTTTCACACAATATAAATGCTCCTAACTTACAGTGGTATTACATCTTGATAAACCCATCATAAATGCAAAATTCCAGAAGTGAATGTGCATTTAATCTACTTAGCCTACCGAACATCCCGGCTTACCAACACTGCACACTGTAAAGGATCAGTTATTGACCCTTATGACTGCATCACTGACTGAGAGCCATGGCTGCCACTGCCCAGTATCACAAGGGAAGATAATGCTGCATATTGCTAGCCCAAAAAAAGATCAAAATCCAAATTTGAAGTATGGTTTCTACTGAATGTGTATTACTTTTCTACCATTATAAAGTCAAAAATGGTGAAGTCTAACCATAGCAAGTTGAAGACTATCTGTACAGCTCACTCTTTCTCTGTATGTGTGTTTGTGCACCACATACACAGCAATCTGTGCCATACTGGTAAAGCCAGTATACAATCATGTCTTGTTTATTCAGGAGCAATAGATAATCTGGGTATTTAACATATATAAGTTGACCAGGTGACTAAAACGTGATCTTTTAGTACCAATCGTGTGTGTGTGTGTGTGTGTGTGTGTGTGTGTGTGTGTGTTTACTAGGGATGGAACCCAGGGGCCTTCTACCTTGAGCTACATCTCCAACCCTTGTCATTTTTTATTTTAAGATAAGGTCTCATTAAGTTGCCCAGGCTGGCCTTGAAGTTGTGATCCTCCTTCCTCAGCCTCCCAAGTAGCTGGGATAATAAGCATATGCTACCATGCCCATCACCAAATCTTTTTTATTTTAATCCTTCTAAATGAAAATGTTTCTAAGATGGTTCACATCCTTTCCTGTGTTGTTAAACAACAGAGTCCAGATCCATCCTGACCTTTCCTTTCTGTGAAGATGCCGTATTGCCCCAGTGAACATTACCTATTAGATTACACATGGACAGAGGTTCTAAGCCTGCAGTTTAGGGTTTCCATCTTTATCCTCCAGGC